CAATTCAGGGAGGTCGTCTGGCAATAAATAGCAATCTTTTTCTTTTTGAACACCTGCCATCTGCATTTTGGGAGCTACAGAACCAATCATTTCTTCATCAGTAATGTGCGTTAAAATATCGTCATGTAACTGTAATTCGGAAACCTCTTCATCCTCATCATTTGCAGAGTTGAGAAGCTGCTCATCAGTTATGTCCATAATGTCGTCAAAGTCATCCACCAATATGACTTCAGAAGGTGTATTCTCTTTTGGTTTCATCAGAATTAAACTCTGCAAACCTTTACTGGTACTTGTCAATATTCTTTCTTTTATCCACCTGCTGACCTTTGCCATTGCTAATTCATTACTTTCGCCAGGGTACGAAACCAACATGACTATTCCAGAATCGTTTCCCCCAACGCAGCGTTGTATTCTGTGTGAATCAATTATTACAAAAATCCACTTATCTCCTATTTTGTATGAACACAGCGAAAACGAAACGGGAGGACAAGTGTAAACAGCGACGGCCTTTGTAATCGATGCTGTAGTAAATTCCATCAAGGATTTTTGCATTTGAAGTAAACCTTCTTCTTCTGTAATTTCAGCTTGCAACGAGAATAACTCAGTTAATTCAAAATTAGTGTTCATAACGCCTGATTTTGTTAAAATTGCAAGGGCTTCATCAAGGAGCACGTGTTGAGTTATGTTTCGGTGAGAGTTTACTTTCTTTGGAATGTCAATGATCAAATCATCAATATAACTCTTAAGTGCCAATGGATCATTGACGAAGTTTTCGTCTTTGGTCAACATTGCTGCTGCAAAATATGCGCTGTAAAATTGGCAAGCATTTGTTCCGTCAAGAATGCCAACTGCTTTCTCCAGATCCATCAGTAAATCCTCTGGCAATTGACCTTCGTTGGCACTGAAGACGGAACTGGTTACCTCACCAGCYATATCCACAACACTACCTTGGTGGCTYTCTAAATGTAGTATTTCGACTTGGATGCCATCATGCTCTTGTGCCCACTGATTATAATTAAATCTGGGATTATCGGAGACTTTATCATCACAAGGCGGGATTATTTCTGCAAATTTCTGGAAGGTRTGGAGTATGTCATTTAAACTTGCACGTTCATTGGGCTCAAAATGCCAGCCATTTTTAATTGCTTCTGTAAATAAGTTAATTTCCTGACAACTATCAGACGCCTGTGGTAGAGAAGGTCTTTTACCATCTCGAACAAAAGTCGGAACCAAATCTGGTGACTGACAATCTTCACTCCAGGGATGCACACGTGATGGAACCAACAATTCAATT